CACGACGTCTTTGACTGAAAATTATGACATCCGACAGGGGCTAAAGTAAATAGCACTCACATCTTGGAGAGGAATCTGCAACAACCCAAAAAGAAAGAAGGATTAAAAATGAATGAAGGTGGATGACATGTGCATGCACAGTGCACACATAGAGAGAGGGGTGAATACTGTATAGGTAGGGTAGGAGATGTTGACAAATGTGAGAGGGGTTGAAAAAGGACGCATATGGTGCAAAACAAGTCAATAAAATACAGGACAAAGGAAGTCAAGCTATTGGCGTGAAAGAGGAGGTAGCAATTTTTTTCTTATATTTGTTTTTTATTTATGGAGAAATGGGTAGACATAAAATCTTTACCCACTGACAAAGTGACGTGCAAATGAGGTGTGGAAAAGATAAAACAAGAGGTGAGAAAAAGAGAGTAGACACCCATCGCGTGGGAAGGACAAGAGAGTGGAGCCAGAGGAGCACTAAGTGATGAGAGAGGAAACCATAAAAAACAAAGGGAATAGTAATAAGAAAATGGAATATTGGGGTACAGGATAGACAACCATCACGTGGGCAACAGAAGAAATAATGGAGAACGGCAACAGGTTAAGAGCACTTCCAGCAGTTGAGGCTGGGCTGGGGGGAGGGGGGAGTCAGGGCCCAAAAAGTGTTTCCAGCAACAAAGGCTGGCCCGGGCAGGAGGTGGACCCCAGTAGACTGGACTGGCCTGAGAGGGAGGCGAGAACACACTGAAAAACAAAACAAGAAAAGAAAAGGGAGTGAAATCTCATCATGGGCCAAAGGTATAGAAAGAAATAAGCATAACAGCATTTTCACCTATGGTGTCAGCTTAGACTGTTTTTGTCTTTAGGCCGTCTAGGCATGGGAAGCCCGGGCGAGACTACAATGCGGAGATTTTGTGCGGAGGTTACTTACGGAGACTACTTACTGGGCCGTTAGATTGATCAAAAGGCTAACATTAATATCCTCTTTACGCTACAACCGGGTTAAAATTACCCGTCACAAAAATTACAACCCATCTCTTCTCTCTCAGCCAGTTTCACCAAAACCAGATACCAACAAAGGAGCCCCTTCCGAACTCACAGCCACCGGCAATTTTTCACTCCACCCTTGCCGAACACAAGGGTCGGGCAATGACAGTGGTGCCTCAAAGGATGCCTCCTTTCGTTTCTAGCTGAACCCGACCTCAACCGTGCCGAAGATGGAAGCTCGCAACCCTCCCAAGCACCCTTGCCGAAGATGGGCTTGGCTGAACTAACGGCTTACCCATGAAAAATCAGATACCGACAAAGGAGCCCCTTCTGAACTCACAACCACCGGAAATTTTTCACTCCACCCTTGCCGAATGCAAGGGTCGGGCAAATGACAGTGGGGCCTCGAAGGATGCCTCCTTTCGTTTCTAGCTGAACCCGACCTCAACCTTGCCGAAGATGGAAGCTCGCAACCCTCCCAAGCAACCTTGCCAAAGATGGGCTTGGCTGAACTAACGGCTTACCCATGAAAAATCAGATACCGACAAAGGAATGCATTTGCCAGACTTTGTTTTTTATTTTTTGTTTTTTGGATCAGATCTAAGTATTGTTTAGATTTCATGTTTTTCTTGGTTTAATGTCATAGTTAGCATTTTCATTTTGATTTGGGGGACTCTGTTTCTGTGTTCATCTGTGCAGTGGGGCTCTATTTGTTATAGATCTCTAGTTGCTCTGTCAAATTTTGTAGAATAGCTGGGTTCTTGAGAACATTCTGTAGAGAGAGAGAGAATGGTTGGGTTGGGGATGGGATGGCTTCGCTGGTTTTTTTTTTCTCAGTTGGCTGGCGATGGTCGTGGTGGAGGTGTGGCTACCTGGCTACGGTAGTAAGAATCGAGGGGAGGTAGTGGGCTGGCTGGGATGAATGAATTTCCTCCTTTTTTTTTTTTTGGAGTTTCACTAAAACACCCAAAATGGAGGTTGAAATTATAAAAAAACCCAAGTACTATTTAAAGATATAAACACACCCAAAACCCATTATTACACACACTCAAAACTCATTTATAAACACACCCAAAAAGTTGACTTTGTGGTTGATTTTGGGTGTGTTTCTATGTTTAAATAGTGCTTGGGTTTTTTTATAAATACATGTCTAGGATTGGGGCTGGGCTGGGATGAATGAATTTCCTCCCTTTTTTTTTCTAATATTTCTTTTATTTTATTATTTACAGATTCCGATTTTCCATCAAATTTTACAAAGAAATGTTCATGTACCATTTTCATCATGAACTTCTATTTTGATTAATAATCATACCCATTTTTTCTATTTTGATTTTTCCCTCATAATTCTTTTTTTCAAATGAAATATGAAAAAGCATTCTTTCTGGGTTTGTGTTTTAGCCATTTTTGTATTTTTTTTCTTTTGGTGGGACAGGATAATATTCCAAGAGATGCATATTGAGCCAATACAAGTTGATCTGGAAGATTTTTGAAGGCAGAAGAAGTAAGAGCAGAAGCAATTTGGGGGTGTACTCATAAGTGTATGGTTGTCTGGGGG